TTTAAAAGTTGGGTTATTTGGGTAAAAAGTTTTCTTTTTGAGATGAACTTGTTGTTCTTATTTTTGTCTTTTTCTTTACAATTTTTTTTGTTGATAATATTATTAATAGAGATAGCAATGAGAAAGAAATAAAAGGCAACATTATATGACAGATGTAATTAGAGTGATAGAGAGGCATAACAGAGGGAATAAGGAACGTACAAAAGCAAAAGCTTTTTATTGGTTTTATAATTTATTATTTTAAATTTAAGAAAAGAGTAGTATTAAATTTTTTAATGAAAATGGATGCAATCATAAAAGTTGAAATTTGAAAGGTGCTCTGCAATCTACATTTATCAATTTCCTAAAAATAAATTAATTAATAAAAATGAAAAGTTGCAAGTATTAATGAGGATAGTAATGAAAATTGGGTAAGCAAAAGTTCAATCACGGTCTAATAATATAATGACTAGTACTAAGTGGAAAAAAAATTGAGGCCCTAGGCAATGACCTCACTTGCCTTGCAGTAGGGTCGGGTCTGGGTATATATACAATTACAAGTGGATTAGGACAGAAGTTACAACATCAAAATAACAGAAAACTGAAAATATCATACTTATAATCAGTTGCACGCCCGTGGTAACCGGTTACAACACTTGAATTATCAATTTTCTCATAACCCACCACTTTAATTAAAGTGTTTCAAGTCCTTCACGCCCATGATCACCTTTAGCCGCTTGAACACTTTAATTGTGACTCCCTTGGTCAAAAATCAGTCACTTGGCCTTCACTTCTACAATATCACAATTTCAACCTTCCTTCAGCAACAAGTTCCCTCAAGTATTAAAACATCATTTCAATCTGTTTGCTCCTCCCACGTGCAATTGGATTCTTATTAAGATTAATTGTGAAAACATTATCAACCAGGAGTGAAACAACATTATCCTCATTGCTTCCCATCTCCTTAATAGATTCATTAGCCACACGGCTAGACACACACATAACGAATCACCAAAGTACTCAGCCTCACAAGACAAGAATGCTATTACCGGTTTCTTCTTTGAACACCATGAGATTAGTGTTCCTTCGAACATTAAATTGTATCTAAATGTAGACTTTTGATCATCTTTATCTCCGCACCAATTGAAATCGGTAAAATCGAGTGAATTGCATTTTCTGGTAGTGTCCACTATGGGAAATAAAATTTTGGTCGCATGTTGCACAAGTATCGCAAGGATCTAATCAACCTCCTATACTTATTTAGATTAATATCTTACTCATCCTTATTCTTAGACAACTTTAGCCTCGCTTCAGCCAGAGTAATGACAGTATTACAATGCTCCATTTAAAATTTCTTCGATATTTCAACCACATACCTTCTTTGGTGCATGAATAATCCCCTATTGCACTTCTGGAAATCAATGCCAAGGAAACATATAATGAGGCCAATGTCGGTCATCTCAAACTCTTTCATAATTTCACTCTTGAACTATGAAATGAACTTTCCGTCGCTTCCTATTATTAACAAGTCATCTATGTATAGACAAAGGATAATCACTCATTCACTTGTATCCATCTTCACATACACGCCATGTTCGGATACATATTTCTTAAAGCCAACATCCTTTAGTAAATCATATATCCCATTGTTTTAAACTCTTGAAGCTTGCTTCAAACCATACAAAGTTTTCTTCAAGTTGTAGAATATTAATTCTTGGTTTCTCAAAACAAAACCAGGGGTTATTCTACATACACCTCTTTTTCAAGCGGTCCATTAAAAAAATTACAAATTTGACATCCATTTGATAGATGGACCAATTGTTGTTATTTGCAATACCAACAACTAGCCTAATGGTTTCAATCCAAGAAACCGATGTGAATACATCTTCAAAGTCTAAGCCTTCTCTTTGCAAGAACCCATTTACAACTAATCTAGCCTTATGCTTGACTATTTTAGCCTTGTGATTTGCATTCACTTTGAACACCCGTATCACACCAATCGACTTCTTCTTATTTGATAGATCAACCAACTCCCGAGTATTATTCTTCTCAATAAATTTCAGCTCTTCTTTCGTAGCACAAATCCATTTTGAATAACTAAAAGCCTCTTCCGCTTTAACGGGTTCAGATTTGGCCATAAGTAGAAAATGGACGAAATCACCATCATCATTGACTTCGTTGTCTCGAATAAATCATAATCTTGGAGTATTTTAGGAAAACCTCTTTGCCTTATTAATCTTCTCACATTCTCTTCAACTCGGGCTTCGACGACAAGCGTTTATGCACTCTCAAATTCTGCAAAAACTGAATTTTCAATGTTGTAATCGATTATAACTTTTACGTAATCGGTTACATGTTGCTGCTTAATCTCGTCAAAATGATGTCACTCCTTATCAAAATCCTCTTATGTGCTGCATCATACTACTTGTAACCACTGGTAGAGTGATACCCTATAAGTATCATCAATTCTCCTTTATCATCCAGCTTCTTTCTAAGCTGCCCTGGAATAAGTCGATACGCTACGAACCAAAAAATGTCAAATGGTTCAGGTTCGGTTTGAATCCTAACCATGTTTCCTATGGTGTTACCTTCTCAAGATTCTTTGTTGGACATCTATTCAACAAATAGGCAGGTGTGAATACCACTTCTCCCCATAACTCTTTCGACAAGTTCTCCCCCTTTAACAAGTTTTTTACCATGTTCATAATCGACCGATTCATTCTTTCGGCAACACCATTTTTCTATGGTGTATAACGTGGTACAACCTTATGTACTACACCTTCTTAATCACAAAACTTCCCAAATTCATTTGAGACGTATTCGCCTCCACCATCCGTTTTGAGTACTTTGAGCTTGTGATCGTGTTGCCTCTGAACTATGGACTTTAACTTCTTAAACATTTCAATACCTCATCCTTTCTCTTTATTAGGTATGTTCATAGCTTTCTACTATAATCATCGATAAATGTGAGAAAATATCTATTTCCACCAATCTAGTCAACTTGCATTAGTCCACACACGTCTGAATACACCACCTTAAGGTGATTCTTAGTTCTACAGCATGCATCCTTGCTAAATTTACCCTTATGTTGTTTCGCTTGCACAAATTTTAGCCGGTATGTTGATCAATGGCAACCATTTTGTTCTTTTGCAAAGCATTGAGATCTCGAAAATTAAGATACCTATGACGGTAGTGCCATATCCACTCTCCTCGACTCACTACTGTAGCAAGACACTTATGCTTCATAACCTTTAACTCAACCTTGAATGTTCAATTGGCAGGCATAGGAGCTTTAAGGACCAAAACTCCATTTGCATCTATAAACGTGTAGCCCCTTGTTTTTCATGTGAATATTGTAACCCTTCTCAAGCAATTGGCCAATACTTAGAAGGATCTTGATTCTTGGAAGTTCCAATACATCTTTTATCAAAGAATCTCCACCGTTAATTTTTATGATTAAAATATCATTGATCCCATCAGCCGCTAGAGTGGTGTCATCAGCAAACTTCACTTTATTCTTTATGTCACGATCGATTTTAACAAACTAATCATTCCTCCTCGTCGTATGAGTAGAATACCCTAAGATAAAATACCATTCCTCGTTGCACTAAACTGCACCTTTCGGACTCATCATGACATTTTCTTCTGCGTGTAACTGGTTACACCTTTTATGTAACCAGTTACAACATGCTTTTGCAGCGTTTTCAAAACTGATGATGCTATTGTCCCGCAACTTGTTGCTGCTGCATTCCCTCTTTGTGATCATGACCAAGAGTGTGTTCTCCTCGTCAAACTCTTTTCTTGCAACCTTGGTTTCATCTCCTTGAGGTTCCTTCTCTTTTGCATTGCACTCTCTTGCAAAATGACCAAACTTTTGACAGTTAAAGCATTAATTACACCTTACTTTTGTTAATCCTCTTTCTTTCACCTGTAAAGTTGTCTTGACCACCATTTTTGTTGCAGCTGCTCTCATCCCTTTGACAAGTCAAATTCTTGGAACTTAAGGACTCTCTTCCACCAAAATTCTAAAAATTCACTTTACTCTTCATGTGTCATTTTCCTTTCAATCTCTTGTTATTCTCATTGACACGGGCTTGAAAAAGCGATCTCCGCATTTGCCTTATCATTATTTCTCTCCTCCATCCTTTGAACATGAGCCTAAAGAGAACTTTGTAGTTCCTCTTTGCTCACCGTTGAAAGATCCTTCGATTCCTCAATAGTTACGACCACACTGTCAAATCTTGCCATTAAAGTACACAAGATTTTCACAATAATATAATGCCCCATTATTATATATTCACATACCTTCACTTGATTCATTAATTGAGTGATTCTCGGTGTGAAATCATTGAAGATCTTCTTTTCCTCCATTTGAATCTTGAATGAATTTAAAAATAAAAATAAAAAGAAGATAAACTACATATTCTTAGTCATGCTAATTAAAAAATCAGAGGTAGTATTTAATCATGTATTATTATTAATCATACTAATTCAAAAAGATATAAAAGATAAAATTTTCACATTATCAATCTACTAAAGAATATTATGTACATGTAATACACAGGAAAAGAAATCTACTAAATATTATGTACATGTAATACACAGGAAAAGAAATACTGGTTCTGTATATACTAAATAATTAGGAGTAACAAAAAACTAAAATAGGATTCCACTCACCAATTCTAGTTAACAAAATCCCTTTCACAACAACTAGCTAGCTACTCCTGAACTCTAGGATATCCAAATTGGAACTTCATACACAGAAGATTTCATAAGATCTTAAATTCTTCTTGATAACATACATTATCTCCCTTTATATTAATATGTTGTTCATAAGGTTGAATATCAAAATTTCAAAAAAATAAAACATAAATATTATCAGTACAAACTTCTCGTTTAAAAAATAACAGCACAAATTGTCCATGAACAGCTAGCGATATTTATTAATTATGTATCCTTAATCTTGCTATAAAATTTTCAAATTATCAATCTACAAAATCCCTTTCAGTGCAACAAGCTAGCTACTCCTCAACCCTAGGGTATCCAAATGGAACTTCATACACAGAAGATTCCATAAGATCCTTCCTCACAAACCCATAATTCCGAAGAACTTGATTATCACCAAAATTCAAAGCCCTCTCCATCTCCTTCCAACAAACATCCCCTTCATAACTAGGATTGTGGTCCCCACTACATGGCTGACACCCTGTAAAATGTGTCACAAAAGGCCTCCTTTCTTTCCCTCCCAAATACCTCTCTCTCATTTCACCGTACCAAACACTCACTTTCTCCGAATGCCTTCTTCTCAAAACCCTAGCCCCATCTTCCATCTCATCATACTTATCTTTCAACCTCTCAAACTTCCCCAAGGAAGCAATCCAATAACCTTCCAAGTCATACCCTTCCTCCAAATACGTTTTCACACCCCATTTTCTTCTTTGCCTAGAAAGCAAATAAATCAAAGAAGACTGATCGTCGGAAACCGGAAACAATTTATCTTTAAATATCGAAGTTAAGATTCTCCCCCATGTTTCATAGTTTGATGATAACGGACCCATTTGAGACCACACGTGTAACAAATCCATAGACCATTGACAGTTACGAATCAGAAGCGAACCGGCATTAAGCCCGGTCCAACTCTTGTTCTCACTTTCATCATAAACCATGTTGGACCAACCATGAACCACGAGATTATGATCCTTGTAACGCTCCAACGGAATCTTGAACTCCATGTCAGTGATAACCGCATCTGCGTCTAACCACCAGATCCACTCAACTTCTGGATGTGCCATCATAGCAGATCGAATGCTTGGAATTTTGGACCAATAAGATCCCATCTTTGGGTGAAGGAGTACATTGCTATAGTACACCTCGCAGTTTTGGATCCTGCAGTAATCAACTTTGTTTTTGAAACATCTTAACAGCAAGTGGTCGCCGATGTTGTTCTTGCACGGAGTTGATTGCGATCCGGTGACGATAAGGATCCGGTCACGTGAAGCGGCGAAGGAAGGATGAAGATGGAGCCAGTCGCTTCGTTTTTTGTCCCACTGTTTGATACGTTTTTCGATGGAGTAACTTAATTGTGGGTCGTCGTAGAATGTTTTTTCAGGAGGGTCTTGGATAACCTCGGAGATGGTTACGGTGGGACCCATAAGGAGGATTGTGAGATGGTTTCTTTTGAACCATGATGCACTGAGTAGTAGTAGAAGAAGAACGAAGAGGGTTCCTTTGAGGATGGGAAACCCAATTGAGCAACCTCTCTTTCTTTTCAGACTTGTCATTTGGAATGTTTGTGATTTCGATTGTGTTCAATTAAGAGTAAGAATTGATTTTTAAGAACATGGTTTTGGGGTAAGTGAGATGAGAGAGTGTTTATTGGTCATAACTTCAAAATCTCATGCATTTAACCCAAGTTTGAAATACTACTAGCGTTTGGCGATGGGAACGTTGCAGTTCACATTAAATTTAATTTTCTATTTATTAGTAATAATGGATTTCTGCCACATCTAGAAGAATGACGTATATCATCATCCATTTTGCACTTTTTGATTTTTTTTTTACCAAACACTTTGTCTTTTATAAAGTAAAAATAAAAATTAATAAATGTTAAAGATAGTTCACTTTGATGTTAATTTTAAAAAATTATAATATTCACTTTAGAAAAAAATGTGATTTAATAAGATATATGTCCCTAATCAATTCATGTTTCATTTTTCATATTAATAACCATCAAAAGATTAAAATATATTTGTTAATTTTTATGTAATGGTTAAAATAAAATAAATTTTAAAATAAAAATTTGAGATAATAATAGGTGTTCTGGCCTGGGCCCCGGCTTGACCGGGCAGACCCAGTCCAATGTTGCTTAGTTAGGCCTAATCCGACTTGAGTTACATCTGTCGAGCATATGGTTTCTGCCGGGTAGACAATGGCCCCTCCACAGGCAGAACCTTCTCCCTTGTCGAGCAGAACAACATGTCCTTCACACGTTCTCCACGTGTTTCCTTTTGCGGGGACACGTCACCAACCAACTGCCCACCTCCGAAAGAGCAGGTCAAACCCACTTTCCGGAGATCACGGGACAGTTGAACTAGGGCGAAGACCACATCCTGGTCTTCGATACGCCACGTAAGTCCTAGCAGTCACTTGGGTTGGGTCTGGCCATCCAGCCCAACTCAAATGACTGTTGGCCCTGCGTTGAGGTCTCTCTATAAATACCCTCTTTCACTAGAGGGTCAGGTAATCAATTCTTTTCTTACCCTTTTCTGTATTTTCTTTCACTTTGTCCAAACTCTTACTTTGGCATCAGAGTGTCTTACAGGTACACCCCTCATCTCCTTCTCAACACCGGTGAACAAGCAGCAGGTCAACGACGTGTGGCAAGTCAATGGTCCCCTTCTGATCAGGTCAGATCAGTGGCACTGTCTGTGGGAAACATAAAACTTCCCCGTTCCTTCGAGCAGAAAACCAAAGTTTCATCAACATTTCACGATCATGTCTAGCCCACACCACGACGATGCCGTTCACGACCTCATCCACGTTCTCGCCACGAACAGTGGTAAGAAAACGGGGGCATCCCAACCTCCGGAGACCGACGAGAGGGATGGTTAGACCGCCTCTCCCTCGTCCGACGAAGCTGCACACCAGACTGTTCTTCGACCAAGGAGCCCGACAGCGTTCCAGCCCATCCCTGTCCTGGCCGGAGCAGATCCAACGGTGGTCGCCGTCTTCGCGGCCATCAACCAAACAAATCAGCTGCTGTTTCAACAGAACGCACGAATTGGCACGCTAGAGCACGAAGCCTCGTTGAGGTCCCCTCCGCGGGAAGACCAGAACAGAAACTCGAGGAGCCCGTCGCCTCGTCCCAGAAATCGTCGACCTCGGCTAGAGAGGCCTCAACCCGCAGCAGTGCGGGAACGAACCAGGTCGCCAAGGAGACGAGTTTGGGAGCAACGGACGGCCAGGGTGGATCCCCCGGCCAGACCTCCGCGGGTCGAACCCCTGGTCAGGAGGCAGAGGGCACGAAATCAAGCGCCTCCGCCACCAGTGCCATCACCCCCTCAGTCGCCAATTCTCAGTGACGAGGAAGACTACAGGACTCCCCTATCTCGGGAGATCATGGCGACTCCCATCCCCCACGGAATGGAGAAGCCCCCAGCACTCTCGACGTATGACAGTACCTCCGACCCAAACGACCACCTGGAGGATATCGAGGCCATGCTCGATTACCGAAATGTACGAGGAGCTATCAAGTGCAGACTCTTCCCGACGACACTGAAGAAGGGTGCCATGACGCGGTACAAAAGTCTGGAGTCAGAATCTGTCACGTCGTGGAGGGTCCTGAAGGACCTCTTTTCAAGACACTTCACAGCATTCCGGCGTCACCCAAAGACAGAGGCTGCGCTGGGCGCCATAATCCAGCCTCTCTACAAGACTTCCTCGACAGAGCCGCGCATTACATCCGGTTCGAGGAGACTCAAGCGGCCAACTCCGCCCGCGACACTCGAGACCGAGAGACCCCCCGCGGGTCCCGGGAGAACGGAGCCTCGAGCCACCGGCGCAGAGGAGATCGCCGACGAGAGGATCATCCCCGCGAGCAACGCGGTCCTGCTGACCGATTTACAGAGTACACAGCCCTGGTCACTTCCCGAGAGCGCATATTGGTCGAGTGCACCAAAATGGAGTTTATCTAGGCAGGTGTCTGTTTCCCCAGGCCGACACCCCCCATGCCCAACGTGGACAAATCGAAGTTCTGCCGCTTCTACAAAAGCCACGGGCACGTTACAGAAGATTGCATCCACCTGAAGGACGCAATCGAAATCTTGATCAAAGATGGGCACCTGAAAAGGTACACCCGAGGAGGAGAAGCCCTGCGGCAAGATGCTCCCAAGGCCAAAAGGGTCGAAAACCTCCCTTTTCCTGACAATGACAACGGTCTGCAGGTTGCCCTCAGCGTCAGCCGGCCTGAGGATTGGTTCGCCCTCAGAGAGTTCGGCCTCCCCGCCGAGCTTGATCTTCCCGACGAGCTTGTACGCCCCACCAGCCGATGGGAGTACTTTCCGAAGGCCATGGTCATCTCCGGCGGATCTCCTAGGAACCTATCCATGGGGTCGGTAAAGAGGAAGTTCGAGGAACTCATCACCAGCACCTCCAGCAAAATGAGCACCCTCGACAAATTCCGTGTTCGGTCCAACCCGATCACTTTCTACCTCAAGGAGCTCCCCGGGGGTTCCCCCAACTCGAACATCCCCCTCCTGATACGGGCACAGATGGCAAACTTCAACATCAAACGTATCCTAGTCGACAGAGGAATCTCGGTGGACATCATGTACACCCACCTTTTCACAACACTCCAACTCGACGAGTCCAACCTGTCCCCCTACCTGGGTTCTGACCTCCAGGGCTTCAACGGAACGACAACAAGGTTGTGGGGGTACGTGGAGTTAAAGGTTGCCTTCGGGGGAAAAGAAACGGTCAGGGAGGTCAATGTCCGCTTCCTGGTCATTGAATGCCCATCCCTTTACAACTGTATCCTGGGCAGGACAACGATGGCCGAGCTCACCGCGGTGCCCTCCACCGTCCACCTAAAAATGAAGTACTACACTAAGCGAGGGGTCGTTGTCACCCTAAACGGAGACATCGAATTTTCCCGACGGTGCTTCGAGGCTGCACTGAAAGGCCTAAGCACGATCGGCCCAGCGACAAAAAATTAGCGCCCACCACTACTCCGAAGAGCGAATCCAAGGACCTCGTCGGCTCGGTAGACCTCGACAACCGCTTCACCGAAGAGACCGACCGCGAGGACGAAGCCAGCGACGCTCTTCCATCCAACGGGCAGCCCATCCACCCAGCACGCCCCATCCCAGACGGTGACTTTGACATCGTGACCCTCGGGGACGACGAGACGAGAACCGTGAAGATCGGGGCAGGACTGCCTGACCTTGCGAGGAAACAACTGAAGGTCTGCCTCCACGAGAGCGCTGATCTCTTCGCCTGGAGCGCCGCAGAGATGCCCGGACTCGACCCTGGGGTCGCCTGCCATCAGCTCTCCATCAACCCAACCACCAAGGCCGTAGTACAACGTAGGCGTAGGCAATCTCCCGAAAAGTCGACGACTGCTGAAAAAGCTGTAAAAGACCTCCTAGAGGCAAATTTTATTTCGGAAGCCCGGTATTCAACCTGGCTGTCCAATGTTGTACTTGTTAAAAAGAGTAATGGAAAATGGCACATGTGTGTGACAAGAGTGTACCAAAAGGTCTGAGCCTTTTTGTCTTCACATCAAGTGACCTTTCCTAGAAGAAGAAAGCACAGAGAAATCCTTTTTGTCTGTGTTCTTGTGTCTAGCATAAATAAGGAAAGAGTCGTTTGGATTATTCCAACAGACATAATCTTTGAATTCTTCTTCAAATTTCAGCAAGATTCATCAGAGTCTAATTTGATCAGAGCCTTCTGATGTTGATCAGAGTTTTGCTGAATCAGAGTCTTTGCAGCAGGTGTGCTTTTAGCGTGTGTAAGTTCAGAGCATATTTGAGTCAGATCCTCAGTACTGACAGCTTTAGTACTTTCAGAATCTTCAGTAGTAACTATGCTTTGAAAACTCTTCATACAGAATTCTTCTTTGGTTCAGATGCTTCTGACTTGCTTCAGATTCTTCTGGAGCTTCTACTTCAGATCCTTCTGGAGCTTCTGCTCAGGATCTTCTGATGGCAGCTTTCAGAATCTTCTAATGGATGCATCTGACGCTTCAGAGTCTAGCATATTTCTTATGTTCAGTTTTGATTTGCTTCTGGAGTGATAATTACTTTAATATCTGCAGTAAAATCTCTTAAGCAAATTTTAGAGTATATAATTCTTAATTACAAAATTTCATAATAGTTATCATCAAAACATAGAGATATTATTAAGAACCAATATGTGTTCTAACAGGGTCGACCACCCGTCCGTCGACAATCTCGTGGAAAGGCCCAATTCCATCCTCGACCAGGGCGACGTCAGAGTTGACCGCCTTGAGCTGTGCGACAACACCATTAAAACCAACCACGACCACCTCCAAGCAGTCGCTCTCCAACACCCGGATCCTAGCGAGCAAGTTTGCTCGAGTGACCATCTGTTTGTCCTCTTCGGTCTCGTCCTCGGCAGGACGGAGGGCACTCTCCAGCTTCCCCACACGAGCCTTCAGTGCTCGCACCTCCGCTTCGGCAGCCCCCGACTTCCCCTCGGCACTGTCTCCCCTCTTGCGTTGGTCGACAACCTCCCCCTTGCTCTTCTCTAGCTCTTCGGC